CAGCGGATCAGGAGAGGAGGCAGGGAAGGGAAGGTGTAGTCTGGGGCTGGACGGGAATGCTCCATGCCACAGTGCGGACTGGCATCATACAGGTGAACACTCGCCAAAACATACCTGGCTGAACTCCCAAGATTGGTGCTTTTCACTCTATGCAATTGATTCTTCAATACAAATTGTAAAATATAAAATGTAAACTTTATTTTAAAAGTCCATGAGATCTAGAAAATTAACATGTAAGTCAGAGGGAGGAGGGAGTCAAGGGTCGTCCAATTCCCCTCAGAATTAAATAGCGTTCTAGTGTGCACTGTGCATGTGAAGTGTGTTCTTGCTTTTGTTCCACCTGGCAGGACACGCCTGCAGCAGCGGAGCAGTTCAAGTCCACAGGACCGGCTGCAGTGCCTGCTTCAGCCTTCTCAGCTAGGTTTGGCTTGAGAAGAAGGATCCCAACTGGTACCACTTCCTTGCTCACCGCAAGTGTGAAGACGGCCACCAGTCACTAATGGAGCAGGTGTCTGGGGGGAGGACCTGGTGTATTCCCTAGGTACACTCAGGAAACAGGAGTGGAGGAGAAAGTGGTGTCTTGTCTAGACTTGTCTGCCCAGAGACACAGCTAAAGGTGACCACCTGGAGTTTGCCCCAGGACAGCCTGGATGGTGAGGGAGAGGTAGAGGTCACATCAAAGAGAAAGGCGCAGGAGCCCCAGGCGGCAGACATCCCAGCCTGCTGAGCACACCTGAATAAGTACAGCTGTGCTCTCTCTGTCCTTGCTTCTGGGGGAGCCCCTGTGCCTTCTCACCATATCGCCAAACTGCTTCCCCAGGACCAGACCCTGGCAATAAGCAAAGAGAGAAAATGCTCTCTGAAAAAGGATGGGATCATCGTAATCCAGAATGTGAGCCCAATGCTTCCCCATGTGAAAAGTCCCACCCAGCTCCCCATCATTTCCTTCCCCACACAAACCCTTGAGACCGGGCTAAATATTCCTGCTTTATGTGAGGTTGGTGAGGGTGCTGCCGTCATTGAGTGTGCAGCCTGATGACCATGCTCAGCACCAGGGCCCCCAGGACACAGAGTACCAGGGCATGACTGGCCCTTCCAAGGAACCTCAAATGCCTCAAATCTGTCTCAAAGTTGCTAAGGGCCAGAAACCCATCCTTGAGGACAAGGAGAATGTGGCTTTGGGGTCAGACGCCAGAGAACATGCAAACCTGAGAAATGCCTTGTAATGGTTGATGTTATGCCTGGGCCATGGTTCCT